TGATTTATCAAAAGCACTTACATAATGAAAATGTATATATTATTATAACCCCTATTTACTTGGTCGCACCGCGTCGACCGGATTCATTGAGCTAGAAAGAATTATGTGTTTACTAACTATTAATTGATTAGCACTGCATCAGCCCCATTAGTCTATGTAATCAACGCTAGGAACCTTCATTAGAAGAGGTTGGTCGACTCGGATTTACGGTCGACAGCGACACTTCGATCTGTATTATACCTACATATTTATTATGTATAGAATTGTGTTGTTGCAACCAAGTATAATCTGTATACAACACTTATACACACGAGTTTATTGGTTTGAGATGAAAATTCGAAATTTCTATGTCCATACGGTCTTGACGTACAGTGCAGCACTCGGTTGTGATTTTGCATAGATTTTATGATCTAATGATCACACACATTAGCGAAAATCCTAATACTATATCACTCTCATAATTTGTACTTTTTGAAAGAGATATCAAATAATATACGATTCGATAAATATTGTCATTTATGTTTTATTATAAAATATAACTTTTTATTCTTTGAATAACTTTATTTATTATACAAAATAAAAGGTAACGACTAAAAACACATTTCCAAAAACTAATTTTTCACAAAATATATTAAGTTGTTATGTATAATGAAGAATAATGTTTTAACAAATAATGAATATCGAATACAATTTATTACTAATAACCGGGAAAAAAATGAAATAAAAGATAATTTTTTTTATTTATGCATTTATTTCTACGATTATGCCCAACTCTGATCACACTTCAAAATCAACTTTCACATTTTAAACAGATTTAGTAAAATTGTTGTTACTCCTTCTTTGGATATCGTTGAGCTCTTAAAACTTAATTATATTTTTTTTAGGAAATGCGCTGAGTAATTCAATCTTTGCGAGTTTGTGAACAAAAGTTTTTTTTCACACAATAACGAGTGGATTTTCCTGGTTTTCTTATTATCGTGTCTAGCTATAATATAGCGATGCTTTATTACACTTGTATAGTCAAGTCTGTTAAATTTACTCAGTGAATAGGTATGTTTTAAAGCTGGGGGTTTGTCGAAAATGATGTGCATCATAAGTCTGATCTAACCTAACCTGAATATGTAGCACCACATTATTGTATTGGGCTACGTTGAAGCCTAGCAAACAGTATCGAATTTAAAACCTAATTGTAACTTGTAAGCCAATAATGCCAATTTTAAGCTAGAGATTTAAAGGCATTGAGCTGTGCGCATAATATTATTAACTGCAAACCCCCGCGGTAATTCGGCTAAGAAAATTAACAACAACTCGACCACTAAATCATTATAAATATAATAAAAAACTAATTATTCTCGGTGCACATTATACGGTTATCTTTGTTATAGAGGAAACAAACCCAGAGAAAGAGAGTAAGTGAAAAAGAAAATATAGAAAACAATCGTCGGCCGTCGAACGCCGTATGATTAATTATTGGAAAACTATAATGCGAGTAATTTTATTTTTGCGTTTTTATTTTTTTGGAAGATATCGATTTTATCGGTATTAAAGGCTTCTGGGATAATATATATATATATATATATATATATATAGTTTTTTTAACGTTAGACATTACTCCAGTTGATTAATGTTCTTCGACATAGCCAGCGCCCTCCTCCAGGTGGTACGCACACGGGTTTTTTTCTAGTTTCTTCTCTCTCTCTATTTAAAGTTTCCCTGAGAAACCGAAAGAAGTCAGGTAGAAGTACGATCACAACTTTTTCTGGCGGCAGTTCAACGGGTATAACATAATGTTCGATACGGTGAAAATACTATTATAATAATACATATAAATAAATATAACATGACCAAACAAGCTCGGGGCGATCCGAACAAACAGCCTTTTCCACATACCACCAATACTGTACACACATCAGTTAACTGCAAATGTAAATAGATAACAACAAACAATACGGGACTGTTCTTTCGCAAAACAAACAAAAAATACAACTTTTTTACTGAATTTGTTCAAAAGCGGTTTAATGACGATCAGTTTTTCTATTTATATATTATTATGCACAAATTATCTATAATTACCCTAATTGCATATTTCTCATGGGACTAAATAAATAATTGATACCCGCATGAATTACAATTGTTTCCCTTCGCTGTACGCAATTATAGTATAAAAATCTATAGAAGAAACAAAAAGTTATGATAAAAAACGTATTATCTCGAGGGACAGAAAGTAACATCGATAAGGACATTGTCGAGCGTCAACATTTTAAATTAGTTTAAAAATCCAGGCTAATTCAATATTTAAACTTTTAGTTTAAAAGTTTACATTATTCAACGTAACTTAACCAAGTTATTATAAATCATTGAGTTGCCCAGAATTGTATATTAGTTGTATTAAAATTAACTTGTCAAAAACAATTACAATTACCTAAATATAAGATAAACCCAGTTACTGTTGTTATTACTAATTGAAGAACAGCTTTTGAGTGCAAAATGTAACCAGTATTAATGAAGGACAAAAAATAATATAATTTTAATTAGAAACACGTCGACTAAACTTAATGGTTCACTTAGTTACGCAGTAATTAAGTTTGAATATGTTTATTAACGATATAAACATAATATTTTTAAACTTAAGGAACTTCTTTTTATTTTTTTGAAGAGAATGACAATTAAAATTTAAAAAAAAGATAATTTTTTATTTGCATAATTAATTATTTCCCGTTGGTTCACATTTACACCGGAGATTATAATTAATTATTAACACCGCTACTACGATGGGGCTATCTTACACCGTACCCAAAATTGGCTTAATCATTGTAAAGAAAATATTGTTGTACTTAGTAATAATCTTTTAATAGCTTTTAAGAAATATAATTTTAAAGCACTACACAAAAAATATATTACCATTCAAGACGAATCGAACAGTCAACTTGGCCAAATAAAACATACTAAATTAGCTGTTCGAAAATAGATGCTAGAAAAAAGCTTTTGACTTCTGGCAAGTTTTTAATTTTATAAAATATTTACTAGTTTAATATGCAATCTACCCAAAATCTATACATTTAAGTTTTTAATGAAATACATTTTAACTATTGGCAACTTTTCCTAATAAAAATGAAAAAATCGCCTACTTTCAATTTAAACAACCGAAAAAGTGTCAAGATGTTCCAAATAACGGTGGTCTATAGTGTAAGGAATGAACAGAGAATTAATGACCGATTGATAAATGAAGATTTAAAGTGTTCAATTATAGGTTTTATATTATAATAGAATACATTTTAAACTAACTAATTTTAAACATTTTAATTCTGTAGTATAAGTAAATATAATTTTTGGGGAAAAAGATGGTGTATCGCCGCTGACACTACTTGGTAGTTTCAGCACGATTCAAGTGTTAAAAACGAGTTTTCGTCGGCCGAGCGTATTTTTAAAAGGTCAGCTAACTTGAAAAATGTAACCTTTGAAAGTCGCTTTTGTTTAACAAAATGATTCCCGGCTACTTGCGTTAAAGCAAAACACTGTAATGTTATTACTATGAAAACTACAGAGAACTCGCAAAATCATGGACCAATTTGTATTAAATAAAACAAATATAAATTTAAATTGTAATGTAAAAAAAAATATAAAGTGGGAATTTAAATTGAGTAAGGTTTCTTTTTAATTTAAACGAAAATACTTAGAGATTATTCATTTTTCAATCAAAACAAGAATGACTTATTTTTTTTAAATTAAATTAGTAATTGACTAACAAATTTGAATAGCAAAATTTAGCTAATATAAGTACAAATCCTTATTATGACATAGATCACTTTTTTGATTTCTAACTTCTTAGCATTTGTGCTATTATTTAGCTAAACAATTATGTATTTAATGAGGCCTTACAATTAAAGGATTATTTATTTATTTTGTTTTAGAAAGAAAGAAAAAAGAGAAAATAATTATTTTTTGCGTTTAAAGATTACCCCTACAACAGAAGCAAGAAGATTTTAAATTTGGTTTTATAATGGGTTTTTTGACAAATTTATGGCTAGGCTTACAATAGCTTTTAACCGTTGAGCAACATGAACTCACCTCGAGTATACTGTAAATAGTAATTATAAAAATTTAAAGATCTCGTGTTAGGTACCTACTAGACATCGGTATTTTCTTTTAAATAGTAATAATAATATAATATAACAGTAAGTTTCAACGGTAATATAGTTTCATTACACGTTATTCCAGACTAGAAAATTAACTTTTGGGCCGATTAAAACGATTTAACGGGATAACGCGCTCTTTTAACGACAATCCCGGCGACGATAAAACTAACACTGTTACAATGTAATGAATAGATAAATCGTGCCTGTTCGGTTTTGACTTTGGGGCGTACACGTGGAGCAAACCAACGGTCGCTTGAACCGCTCATGTTGGTATATATAAAAATAATAATATACTCGTGTACTCGGCTTTGATTAAACAGCTGACAAATGTTATAATTACTATTAATATTACACAATAATAAGCAATTTTTTTCTAATTAAATACATACTGAACATTCCGCAGGTGACATGCTCCGTTGAGTATAATATGAAACAAGTGCATAATATAATGTAGTGAACAACAATTTTTGACCGAATGAAACAAATAAGATGAAATAGTGATCATTGGAAGTATTCAAAAAAAATATGTAAGGGAATTTGTCGAATAAAATTGTACATTTTTCTCTAAATTTTTCTTTTTGGACTCCTGAGTTTTTAAAAATTAATATTTTTTTTTTTTATAATATAATCATCACAGTTTTTTAAAGGAGACGAGTAATTAGATTTATTAAACTACTTGATGTATTGTACTACTAAGCTACTAGATTCCTATTCAACGACTTTCGGAATGGTCGTATCGAGTTCCCAAATGCAAGTGATAAATATATAAATACTCGTCACGACCGGGTTCGTTGAGGGCATGCTCGAAATTGGATTTAAAACAAAAAAACAATAATAAAAATATACTAATTTAAAAAAACTTACAAAATTTGTTCTTTTCGGCGAACACCGCCGGCGGCGTACGCGTCAAAGCCAGGGCGGCTATGGCCACCACAGTCAACGCGACCAGCGGCCGCGGTGGCCCCGGTCCTCGTGGTCGCATGACGTCCCACGCGGTCTAATTACCGCCGGTGTCCGTCGTCCGGTGGCCGCTCATGACGGTCGCCGCCGTAGTGGTCCGACGACCGGTCAGCGTGGTGGTATTAATTTTTTTTTCTCGAAAACAGACAAGTGTAGTAAAAAAAAAAAATATATATATATATATATATTACTTATTTTAGTTTAAAAAAATATTCAAAAATTACTACAGACAGCGGCCGATAAAAATTAAATTCGAAGGCGATTGGCGCGTGATTTTACCGGCGCGGCCGGCGAAAACGAAAGTCGGCCGGTGTCTATGCAACGGCGGCGGAGCTACCGGTCTGAATCGCAATGGCACATTGCCGCCACGGCAACGCTTCGTGGCCGTTATCGTGGTCGCCACCGTGGCGCTGTGACGGCGGAAGGGAAAACTTCGGCACCCCTCGGCCGGCCTTCACCGCCGGCGCGCGACAGGCGGGCCGGCGAAAAAACCGGCCGAGGGACAGGGGCGGTCTGCTGGTGTTTAGTCTAATGATGCGAAATGCCCCCCTGCAGGGTTATATTGATCAGCGGCCGGCGCGTGGCGTCCCGCCGTAATGCGCGCAACAGTAGTGGGCCAGCACAAGTGCCGGTGCCGATGTGGTACGCTGCCGCCAAACCGATCGGTGCGCTTGCGTTTGGCTGCCGCGCCGCCGCGTCGCCCATTGCCGCGTGCTTACCTACTCGCGTACCGCCGACCGCCAAGTTCTCATTATTCTTCTTTGACACGGCCCGCGTCCTAACGACACAGGATTCATTGCCGTTTGTTCCAACTGTACTTCAATAATTTAACCACAGTACAACATGTTTTATATAGTTTCAATGTTGTTAAACAACTGTTACAGCCAATAACAAAGTGTACCTACACACACTCCGTATTGCTAAGTATATTATATTGTGTCACCTTTCGCCACCTATATTTGTAGAGGCAACTCGCATTGTGTATCTGTTCTAATTTAACTTTTTGTACATGGACCGCTTGATTCAAAAATGTTGTAAGTACATGTTTGCCAAAAATGTGTTTACTGAGTAATCTAATAAACAACAGAAAGGGTTTTTATTTTATTTTGTAAAAAAGTAATAAATAGTCCATGTTTCAACCGCTAGGATGCGTAAAAAACACATTCAATTGCGTTTGTACTGTAAGCAAATGTAAAGAGAACACTTTTAAATGCTTTCCTGTTAAATCGTCATTTTGTTTTTATATACTTACAACAATTTTTACATATTAAGCCATTAAATTATAGGCAAGAAGTAAGTATAATTATCGGTTCAGAAGGGCATCGTTATAATATAATTCGGTATGATGACATAACTTAGTAAGTTACCTAGAGGTAATAGTAATATTTTGTGATAAGTATGATAAATATTTATTTTCGGTTGTCTCTGATATAAGTCAGTAAAATTATTAATTGATTTGTATTATTAAAATAAACTATAGAGAATCACGTTAAAACTGTAATACAAATATTTGTACAAATGACAGTAAAATTACACTGAATAAACTCATTTAAATTGAATTTTCTATAATTATTGCTATTCATAGTTGTTGTTATGTACCTACATATTTAATTTGATCAAAGTATGATGAAACGTTATAGATTTCAGAGTAACTTAAAATAGCAAACGATAACTTCAAAAATAAAAACTTTTTACTCACAATTAGATTAATAATTATTATTTGTGAAAAAAGCTAACAAATATATTACTAGACAATGGCGAAGCATTAACAATGAATATGTTAAAAATTAAAATAGATACATAATAATTCTGAACTCAATACAGTATAAAGAACATTCTGAACAAAAATAAACCAACGAATATAGAAATTAGCGTGTCCACAAATTAATAAAATGGCAAATTGTAAGCATATTTGTTTTATGTTAACAGCTCAAAGGTTCTATAATTCACCAAACATATTTAAAAAATAAACCAATAACTTCCCTCTATTTTTAGGTAGTGGGTTTAATTAAAGTAATGAATAACGTGCAAGGGCCTATTAAGGATTTAAATTATATTAAAAAGTTATAATAAAGAACACACATGTCTGGCGCGCCGGCTCGATAGAAAATAAAGGCTAAATTGTATATGTACAGTATCACGTTCCGTCGGTATTTATACGGATTAACAACACTATATAGAAGGCTTTTATATCGACAACAATTAGTATAGTATTACCGATAAATGTTACCTACGATAAAACCTTAGACCAAAAATAATTAATAAAATCGGAAAAACTATTCTGAAGACGATATAGAAGGTATTGAAGTATTAATTACAACGTCAAGATATAAATAGACAAAAATCTTTAGTGGACTACAGCTGAACTAGTATGTAGGAGTTAGGGACCTAACCGGTTTTACCAATCGTCTTAACTCGAACTTAAACTATTTAGACAATTATTATAATTGTTTAAGTGGAATAAGTAAAATTATGAATTAAAGGTTTAAAAAAGTTATGTTTGTAGAAAGCATACGAAATAAGTATTTAAAATTTGGAATTAAATGCAAAATTAATTTTATTTAACTAAATAGCTATTAGTCAAAGAAGCAATCAGTTATCAATATCACAGTTTCGACATAGAATATTATGCATAACAGCTAATATAGGTACCATTAAAAATAGAAAAAACCATTTATACAATTACATGTTAAAGATAATCTATATGTGTGTATTTAACTGAAGAATTTCAAAATGTATTTAAAAAAATATTATTTTTGCATTGAGTATGGGAATATGTTAAAGACTAGGACGGTACAGAAGCCCGTTATATGAGAAATGTATAAGTATAAGTGAATTTATTTTTAAACATTGTGGCTAACAGCTACGGTATATCGCTATAGCGACAATGGGTTCACCTAATCGCTGTAATCACTTTAGCAACAAAGTCTCAACTTTAACCTATTTGTAAAAGTTGAATTAAAAAATTATAACATAAAATACACAATTTAATCAATATACTTCAATTCTAAACCTTTGCTGATGAAATTATTTGCTAAAAGATTTACAATATGTAAGTGTATAATATTATGGTACGTACCTTATCATTGTCGATGAAGATTCAAACGGCTCGTAGAGGCTCGACGAACGCTGTTGCTCACCAACTCACTGGTTACAGCTATTATTTTAGTCTATCATTAGTTCAATTCCATAACTGTTTTTGTAAACATTCAACACCATGGCTGTAAATACAGCCATGGTTAAGAAAATGTATATCTACATATTATTAAATAATATAATAATACTACTCAAATTCAAAAGCAGTTTATCTCTTTGGTGTTTTGTTTTATTTTCACATATTTATCAAAAAAATGTTACTTAGATATAGAGCTTTATATTGTAAAATTATTTAACACTTATATGATTTTTAAGTAGCTTAAATAGCGTTTTTTTGTGAAAATCCGGATTTTCCGATTCCCATCACTAGTATATACATACAAATAGAATTCATAGTGTACTCAAACTGTATTACATTTTTGGATTTGTACCCAGAATAACGAAGTATATATATATATATATATATATATATATAAGATCTGTTATTTCGACCTACTAAAATAGTCAAAACAAAAATCCAAATATACCATTGAAAATGGTATTATTATTTTTAAAATGATGTTGTTTTAAAATCAAACTTAGAAACGCCTGACACTCGGGTTAAACTATTGTAAATTAGATTTTTTTTTTATATATATAAATACAATTTATACAGTAAGTAAATTCAGTAAGTTGATGTATTCATTTTTTTTAATATTGATAAATATAAATACAAATTTATGTTGTATTTTACTTATTTTAACAATAAAGTCTAAGTAAATTGTTATACATTCGTTTAAAATCCTAATTATTATTTACTAGTTTTATCTTAAAATAAACCCCCCCCCCCCCAAAAAAAATGAGTGCTGGATATGGCCATGTACAGTAATGATAAACGTATTACGTAAATCATGATCAAGACGTAGCATTTGTAATTTAGATTTCCTCTTCCATAAGAAAAAAACTAACACATATTTGAGGTTATGATACCGTATCAGACTTCAGACTGCGGTAACCGTTATAATATGCGATAATAGTTATTTGATAACACAAAGCAGGTTCATAAAAAAAGAATCGTATAAAATATAATGTATAATATTATGCTATTTTGATTTATGATTATAAAAAAAGGTACCTATTTTGAATTATTCATATTATAGACTATAGCTGTTTTATTATTAGATAATATCATTTTATATTTTGTGCGCCAGTTAGGTAATAATATTGAATACTTTATTTGTATTGCGAGGAATAGGATAGGTTACTGTTATATCATTTATGACTTGCCACTTAAAAAAAAGAGAGGGGCTTTAGTAAAAAATAGAATAAAGTAAAATATTATTATTGGTAATAGTTTACTAAAACCCAAGTTATACAAGAATCAGCCACCTGAAACTTGTCAAAAACTAGATTTTAAAAATTACATTTTTAGTAATAATAGCATGAAATTTAGTCTAAATAATCGACACAGTTGGTTTATGTAGGTTAACCATTATTATAACATTAAATTGGTTAAAACGATAATCATTTTAGATATATCTAAAATTCTCCTCTCACAAAAAATAAAACTAGTATAATATTTTAATTTTATATTTTTGGCACAATTATTATTTGGACACAAAGGGGATATCTATACACCTTTTTAATTAATTTTATTTTTTAAAACCTTCAATGAGCCTAGCTTTAAAGAAAGATACCATAAAAACTATAGATGGCCTATATAAATAGAAACCCACAGATCCCCCCCCTACTCTTAACAATAAGAGGGCAATTTTATTTTGTAATTTTAGTTGCAATTTTATAACATATAAAATACTACAGGTAATACCATACAAGTTTTTATAACGATGGTCTGAGAGATTCACATATCTACTATTTGTTTCCAATTTTTTTAGATAATTGATAAACACACTAGGTATGCGAGGCTTTCCAATTTTTCCCCTATGAAATAATTGTTTTAGATAAAAATGTTTTTAATTAAATCAATATTTTATTCAATTGTCATTAATAGTTTTTAACAATCAAATCAAAGTAACAAAGTAAAAAGTTAAATTGTTTTTTTCGTTTAATTATTATTAATGGATAAATATAAGATAAATAATAGTATGCAATAAAAAATAAACCAGTTCTAATTATTGACGGTAATAAACATATACCTATTATTCTAACGGGGTTTTGAAATTTAAAGTTTATATGAGCTGAGAAAATTATTCTAAATAACTTTAAATAAAAAAACAAAATTATTATTTTTAAATTCAAATT